TCATTCATGCTTAAATTTGACACTTTACACCTAGGTCTCAACAAAGACGCTAATTATCTTACCCATTACAAAGATAGCTTCCCCAATTATCACCTCTAATATCATTAGCTCAGACATTTACCTTCCCCACCCCCCATCCTCCCTCTGTTCTAAAATTTGATTTGTTCTTTTCATATGTGTTTTTTTATTGTATCCTTTGGTATATATGGTTGTGCCAATTTTCTTCCACTATTTGATCTGAGGAAGTGGGTCTGGCCCATGAAAGCTCATCACCTAATAAACCATCTTGTTAGTCTTTAAAGTGCTACATAGTCCTGTATTTTGTTTTAGAAAACTTAAATGTCTTTAGGTCACTAGATCCTGATGAAATACACCCTAGAATACTCAAGGAGCTGACAGAAGAGGTATTTGAGCCTTTAGCTATCTTGTTTGAAAAATCATGTAAGTTGGGAAAGATTCCAGAAGACTGGAAAAGGGCAAATATAGTCTCCATCTATAAAAAGAGAAATACAAAGAACCCAGGAAACTACAGACCAGTCAGTTAACTTCTGAGCCAGGGAAGATAATGGAGCAAGTAATTAAAGAATCAAACTGCAAACATCTGGAAGATAATGTGATGGTAACAGCATACATGGATTTGTACAGAACAAATCATGTCAAACCAATCTGATAGCTTTCTTTGATAGGATAACAATTCTTGTGGATAAGGGGGAAGTGGTGAACTTAGGATGCCTAACTTTAGTAAAGCATTTGAGATGGTTTCACGTGGCCTTTCTGTCAATAGTCTAGGGAAATACAACCTAGATGGGGCTACTATACGGTAGGTGCATAACTGGCTGGATAACCATTCTCAGTAGTTATCAATGATTCAGTCATGCAGGAAGGACATAACAAGTGGGGTTCCACATGGGTTTGTTTAGGGACTGGTTCTGTTCAATATCTTCATCAACAATTTAGATATTGACATAGAAAATATGCTTATTAAGTTTGCAGGTGATATTAGCCAAGCTGGGAGGGGTTGCGACTGCTTTGGAGGATAGGGTCATAATTCAAAATGATCTGGACAAACTGGAGAAATGGTCTGAGGTAAACAAGATGAAGCTTAATAAGGACAAATGCAAAGTGCTTCACTTAGAAAGGAATAATGGCTACGTCTAGACTGGCATGATTTTCTGGAAATGCTTTTAACGGAAAAGTTTTCCGTTAAAAGCATTTTTGGAAAAGAGCATCTAGATTGGCATGGATGCTTTTCCGCAAAAGCACTTTTTGCGGAAAAGTGTCCGTGGCCAATCTAGATGCGCTTTTGAGCAAAAAAGTCCCGATCGCCATTTTCGTGATCAGAGCTTTTTGGAGCAAAACAAATCTCAGCTGTCTACACTGGCCCTTTTGCGCAAAACTTTTGCGCAAAAGGGACTTTTGCCTGAACAGGAGCAGCATAGTATTTCCGCAAAAAGCACTGATTTCTTACAGTAGAAAGTCAGTGCTTTTGCGGAAATTCAAGAGGCCAGTGTAGACTGATAGGTAAAAGCGGCTGATTTTCTGGAAAAACTGGCCAGTCTAGACACAGCCAATCTGTGTCACACCTGCAGAATGGGAAGTGACTGCCTATGAAGGAGTATGGCAGAAAGGGGTTAGAGTGGACCGTGAGCTAAATATGAGTCAACAGTGTGACACTTGCAAAAAAAGCAAACATGATTCTGGGCTGCATTAACAGGAGTGTTGTCAGCAAGGCACGAGAAGTCACTCTTCTACTCTGCTCTGCCCTGATTTGCCAGTACTGCGGCAAATGGAGTATGGTTTTGTCCAGTATCACAGACAAGGGATGCCATTTTGATGAGCACTCGAGTCCATCCCTGCCATGTTACCTGACACACATTGTGTGTGCCACGTTACAATAGTGGGCATGGGCCCATGTCATTCCCAGAGGTACCAGAATGTTTGGTATTCTAGGAGAGCTCAGTAACCCCCCTAGCTGAAGGCCTATGGTTTGATTCCCTTCCGCGACATAGTGGGAGTGTTGTCCACTCTTGTAGTCAGTCCTGTGTTCACTCTGTTGTTACATTCACTCTTAGCTGTATTATGCTCTGTGTGTGTGTGTGTATGTACCTCAGTTTCCCCCAGCCATCTGCATGGGGGATGGGGGAGGAGGCTGGGTATGACTCACTGCAGAAGTGTATTGGGCCCAGACATTTGAGGGCCAGACACAGGAGATAACAACTCCTGCCCGGAAGGGAGACAAAGGGTAGGCGAGGCTGACACCAGGCTGGCGGTGGGGGAGTACGGCCTGGGGGAAGGGTCAGTCTCGGCTGGGTTAAGATGAGAGAAGGCTCTTAGAGCAGGAAAAGGGGGGAGAAGGGCCTGGGACCCAAGAGGAATAAGGCTGCCTGCTCTTGATCCCTGTGTGAACATCGATCTTATGCTACGCTGTGTCCCTGTGAACCAATACACCTTCTGTTCTGCTTGCTGGCTGGGGGTCACGTCTGGCTGCGAATGGTAGTGCAGGGCTCAGGGACTCCCCGGCACGCCATGACACCTTCTCCAACAACCTGCCTGTATGGCTGTGGTTATTTGTTTATGTTCCGTTCCCCTACTCCTGTGAGCCAGCCTGCCCCTTACACACATGCACAAGGCTAGATTTGAAACGGTGCTCTCGAAAGTTGAAAGGCCCTTTATCCCATCTCTGATCCAGCCAAACCCCTGAACTTGGGGCCAGACTGAAAATGTTGCCCTAGAGGTGAAAGTCCCATATTCCATTCCCTGAGCCAGTCAAGCCCTCCCCTTGATCAGGGGCCAAGTTGGAACCAGCACCCTAGAAGCAAGAGGCCCAATATCCCATTCTCTTGACCCCTAAAATGTTGACCTCAGGATCTTATCTATGATCACTCCGGCAGGCAGGGGCAATGGGAACAGAGCCAGATCACCAGCAAAGCTACTGGCCCAGGATTTTTTTTTTAACTTCTGCAGCTGCTCTAACCACCTGAAGTCTCTGGCGGTTGGGGCGGGGGGGAAAGGAGGCCCCATCTGCCAACCCCAGAGTGTGAGGAGGTTTCTCTTCCGCATAGTTCTAGGCCTAGGGCTGCTGTGCTCAATGATGGTGCCAATGGAGTTCCATTTTGCTCCCACACTCCTTAGTGTCGCTGTCCCTGTTTTCCCAGTTTTGCCTCTTTCACCAGCATCCTCCACCCCGTCACCTGCAATCACTCTTCCTTCTCTTGGCAGCCACGCTAGTTTAAGTCCACCATGAAAGGCTTCGGTCCAATCCCCTCTACTTGCAACAAAAGGAAATGGACACAGCAGACCTTTAGTCAGCAACTGAAAACATCTGCAGTGGGAGGGCTGTCGTCTTGGAAAGAAACCAGGACCCAAGGGACAGGTCTCCCCATATGCTTCTTCCTGAGACCTTCTCAGTCATGCTTTTATGATTTTCCCCTTTCCTCATCTCCTCCCCTGCGGGCTACTCCATCAGTCATTATCCACACTGGATTCTTTGCCTCTTCTCTCCTCATCTCTCTTGCTGCTGCTCAGACGAGTGTCGCCGGTCACCTACATTTCCCCCTTTGCTCTCTAGGGCCCAGTGAAATGTAGGCATTGCCTAGACACTTAGCAGCCCATCAGTGGTCAATGGTATGTTGGCCCACTCAGTACCTACAGTGCTCTGGAAAATGAGATTTAGTCTCCTAACATGGTTAGCTGTTGCAATGCTGAGTGCAGTGCACCTTTCCAAACCTGGGTCCAGGTGACTATGTGAAGGCCTCAAAGCACTGCCATGGTGTCTAAGTAAATAGGCATCTTGATCCCATGGCCTTTCTTGCCCCACTTTGTCAATAACTCTCAGATCTACTTCTACCCCCTCCCACCCCTTGAACTCTCTACCTCCACCCAAACGTGTGTCTCTGTCCTACTACCTCTTATGGACATCCCACCACTTCCTTCAGCCAAACAGCATCCACCAAGCCAGTCTTCCTACTCTGCCTCCCTGCCTTCCATCACTGCAGACACATCGATGCAATTCCATAATCCCAGCTGGCAGGGACCTTCTCTCTCCCCCAGCCAGTGGGGCTTTCTCTCTCCCTTTCCCAGCTCTGGTACTATGGCAAAGGGCCAGGGGCAGGGGTTCAGGGCAGGGACGGCCACTTAAATAGTCCAATGGCCAGCAAAATGGCAAGCCCCAGCCCCAGGAGGCCACTCTCTTGGTCATGCAGCTGCCCCCAGTGGTCACTCTGCAGTATCACATCCCTCCAAACAGCCCCCTCCCTTTCCATGTTATTGAAAACGGTCCCATTCCTGTTTTCCTGGCGCAATTTGGTGGCCCTAGCTCTTACCGTTTAGGAGGAGTTCTTGAACAAACAGATTCATAGACAGGCAGATGGACAGACAGAGACACACATTTCTAAAATATAGAGCTAGATGATGGCATCTAAATTAGTTATTACTATTCGAGAAGGATCTTGCAGTCATCGTAAATATGTTCTCTGAAAAGATCCACTCAATGTGCAGCAACAATCAAAAAGGTAACAATGTTTTCATTAGGGAAGGAGGCAGAAGATAAGACAGAAAACATCATAATGCCACGATATAAAGCCATGATCTGCCCACATCTTGAATACTGTGGGCAGTTCAGGTCATCCCATCCCAAAAAAGGTGTATGAGTATTCGTGGGCAATGGGTGCATGATGGGATTGGGGAGGCAAGACCTAGCTCCGTCCCTTCCATGCCACAGGAGTCCAGTCCCCATTGTGGCCACTGGCCCCTGCCCAAAGCTAGCACTTCCACAGGCCCAGCCCCCACTGCCCCATAGCCCCTGGAGCAGCTGCTCAGCCTCCCGGCCCGGCTCTAGTTCCCAGAGCAGCCAGCCATTTGCATGGCCCCAGCCCCATTCCAGGCCCTGGAGCATCTGCACAGCCCCAGTGCCCCCAGAACAGCTGAGCATCTCCACTGCCTTTCCATCTCCAGAGCCTTTCCAGCCAGCCAGGCAGCCGTGTGACCCCAGTGTTCCCAGCTAGCTAGGCAGCCATGTAGCCCCAGCTTCCTGGCTGGCCAGTGTGGGCGGGGGTCACCTCAGTCTTTTTGGGAGAGCAATGCCTTCCATTGTCTTTTTACCTGGAGCCCAGGTGAGACTTGAGGAAAGTTCAGGGAAGGGCTACATACTCATGAGGGTGTGGAACAGCTCCGCTATGAGGGAGGGTGAAAAGACTGGAATGTTTCGGCTTGGAAAAGAGACAACGAAGGGGGTGAGGTGATAGAGGCCTGTACAGTGGGACCAGAGTGGAGAATGTGAATGAGGAAGTGTTATTGACCCCTCCATAAAATAAACAAACCGGAAGTGGCCCAAAGAAATGAACAGGCAGGTGGTTTAAGACAATCGTAAGACAGCACTGTTCCACACAATGCACACTCAGCCGTGGAACTTGTTGCCAGGCCAAAAGTATCACAGGGTTCTGAAAAGCACTTGATCAGTTCATGGAGGACAGTCCCTGAGTGCCTGCCAGCCAAGAGGATCAGCAACACAGCCCAGTGCTCTGGATTGCCCTAGACCTCTGGCTGCCAGAAGCCGGGGCTGAATGACAGGGGACGGGTCACTCAGTAAATTGCCCTGTTCTGTTTACTCCCTCTTAAGCCACTCTCAGAGCCCCAGCCACTACCAGAAGGCATATACCCAGCTAGATAGACCATTGGTCTGACCCAGGGTGGCTATTCTTCTGTCTAGGAATGTCTGTGATGAATTTCTATGAGTTTGGAGCCAATCTGTGGCCTTGTGTGGAAAGACCAGTCACATCAATGGCTCCGGGTGAGCTTTGCTTGAAGATTTGGTATCGTTATTAGTTCCAGTTGCTTCATTACAAAACTCAGGAGGGATAGTAAGTCCCCATGACATGAGCTTCATGCAGAGATAATTGATATGATCACCCTGCAAAAAACATACAAATGTCTGCGGTGTTGTTGAAATGAATACTCACTCCACAGCACAAATATCCAGGCCCAGAAGCGTAGGATGGCATTTGCGAACTCCATGGCTGAAAACAGAAAGAAAATACATCTGAAATTAATGAAGAACATAGCTTCATTTTGTGCCTCTTTGTGGAATGGGAGCAGAAGCTTCCAAGCCTGGCATTATATACAAAGAATGATTTCTTAAATCTTTCACCAGCTCTTTTGTAACTGTAACAGTCTAATCATTGAAGTTGATTGAAAAAAATCATGAAATGGCACTAAACATTAAATAGCCATAGAGCAGTTTTTAAACTAAGAGATGGGGGAAAGCCGATTGGTGCGGAGATTCATGTAAATCGGAAGGGGTATGTCTACACTACCCCGCTAGTTCGAACTAGGAGGGTAATGTAGGCATACCGCACTTGCAAATGAAGCCCGGGATTTGAATTTCCCGGGCTTCATTTGCATAAGCGGGGAGCCACCATCTTTAAAACCCCGCTGGTTCGAACCCTGTGCAGCTCAGCTACACGGGGCTCGAACTAGGTAGTTCGAACTAGGATTCCTATTCCGAACTACCAGTACACCTCGTAGGAATAGGAATCCTAGTTCAAACTACCTAGTTTGAGCCCCGTGTAGCCGCGCGGCACGCGGTTCGAACCAGACGGGATTTAAAAATGGCGGTGCCCGGCTTATGCAAATGAAGCCTGGGAAATTCAAATCCCGGGCTTCATTTGCAAGTGCGGTATGCCTACATTACCCTCCTAGTTCGAACTAGCGGGGTAGTGTAGACATACCCCTTCCGATTTACGTGAATCTCCGCACCAATCGGCTTTCCCCCATCTCTTAGTTTAAAAACTGCTCTATGGCTATTTAATGTTTAGTGCCATTTCATGATTTTTTTCAATCAACTTCAATGATTAGACTGTTACAGTTACAAAAGAGCTGGTGAAAGATTTAAGAAATCATTCTTTGTATATAATGCCAGGCTTGGAAGCTTCTGCTCCCATTCCACAAAGAGGCACAAAATGAAGCTATGTTCTTCATTAATTTCAGATGTATTTTCTTTCTGTTTTCAGCCATGGAGTTCGCAAATGCCATCCTACGCTTCTGGGCCTGGATATTTGTGCTGTGGAGTGAGTATTCATTTCAACAACACCGCAGACATTTGTATGTTTTTTGCAGGGTGTTCATATCAATTATCTCTGCATGAAGCTCATGTCATGGGGACTTACTATCCCTCCTGAGTTTTGTAATGAAGCAACTGGAACTAATAACGATACCAAATCTTCAAGCAAAGCTCACCCGGAGCCATTGATGTGACTGGTCTTTCCACACAAGGCCACAGATTGGCTCCAAACTCATAGAAATTCATCACAGACATTCCTAGACAGAAGAATAGCCACCCTGGGTCAGACCAATGGTCTATCTAGCTGGGTATATGCCTTCTGGTAGTGGCTGGGGCTCTGAGAGTGGCTTAAGAGGGAGTAAACAGAACAGGGCAATTTACTGAGTGACCCGTCCCCTGTCATTCAGTCCCGGCTTCTGGCAGCCAGAGGTCTAGGGCAATCCAGAGCACTGGGCTGTGTTGCTGATCCTCTTGGCTGGCAGGCACTCAGGGACTGTCCTCCATGAACTGATCAAGTGCTTTTCAGAACCCTGTGATACTTTTGGCCTGGCAACAAGTTCCACGGCTGAGTGTGCATTGTGTGGAACAGTGCTGTCTTACGATTGTCTTAAACCACCTGCCTGTTCATTTCTTTGGGCCACTTCCGGTTTGTTTATTTTATGGAGGGGTCAATAACACTTCCTCATTCACATTCTCCACTCTGGTCCCACTGTACAGGCCTCTATCACCTCACCCCCTTCGTTGTCTCTTTTCCAAGCCGAAACATTCCAGTCTTTTCACCCTCCCTCATAGCGGAGCTGTTCCACACCCTCATGAGTATGTAGCCCTTCCCTGAACTTTCCTCAAGTCTCACCTGGGCTCCAGGTAAAAAGACAATGGAAGGCATTGCTCTCCCAAAAAGACTGAGGTGACCCCCGCCCACACTGGCCAGCCAGGAAGCTGGGGCTACATGGCTGCCTAGCTAGCTGGGAACACTGGGGTCACACGGCTGCCTGGCTGGCTGGAAAGGCTCTGGAGATGGAAAGGCAGTGGAGATGCTCAGCTGTTCTGGGGGCACTGGGGCTGTGCAGATGCTCCAGGGCCTGGAATGGGGCTGGGAGCATGCAGATGGCTGGCTGCTCTGGGAACTAGAGCCGGGCCGGGAGGCTGAGCAGCTGCTCCAGGGGCTATGGGGCAGTGGGGGCTGGGCCTGTGGGGCAGTGGGAGCTGGGCCTGTATGGCTGCCTGGCAGTGGCACGGAAGTGCTAGCTTTGGGCAGGGGCCAGTGGCCACAATGGGGACTGGACTCCTGTGGCATGGAAGGGACGGAGCTAGGTCTTGCCTCCCCAATCCCATCATGCACCCATTGCCCACGAATACTCATACACCTTTTTTGGGATGGGATGACCTGAACTGCCCACAGTATTCAAGATGTGGGCAGATCATGGCTTTATATCGTGGCATTATGATGTTTTCTGTCTTATCTTCTGCCTCCTTCCCTAATGAAAACATTGTTACCTTTTTGATTGTTGCTGCACATTGAGTGGATCTTTTCAGAGAACATATTTACGATGACTGCAAGATCCTTCTCGAATAGTAATAACTAATTTAGATGCCATCATCTAGCTCTATATTTTAGAAATGTGTGTCTCTGTCTGTCCATCTGCCTGTCTATGAATCTGTTTGTTCAAGAACTCCTCCTAAACGGTAAGAGCTAGGGCCACCAAATTGCGCCAGGAAAACAGGAATGGGACCGTTTTCAATAACATGGAAAGGGAGGGGGCTGTTTGGAGGGATGTGATACTGCAGAGTGACCACTGGGGGCAGCTGCATGACCAAGAGAGTGGCCTCCTGGGGCTGGGGCTTACCATTTTGCTGGCCATTGGACTATTTAAGTGGCCGTCCCTGCCCTGAACCCCTGCCCCTGGCCCTTTGCCATAGTACCAGAGCTGGGAAAGGGAGAGAGAAAGCCCCACTGGCTGGGGGAGAGAGAAGGTCCCTGCCAGCTGGGATTATGGAATTGCATCGATGTGTCTGCAGTGATGGAAGGCAGGGAGGCAGAGTAGGAAGACTGGCTTGGTGGATGCTGTTTGGCTGAAGGAAGTGGTGGGATGTCCATAAGAGGTAGTAGGACAGAGACACACGTTTGGGTGGAGGTAGAGAGTTCAAGGGGTGGGAGGGGGTAGAAGTAGATCTGAGAGTTATTGACAAAGTGGGGCAAGAAAGGCCATGGGATCAAGATGCCTATTTACTTAGACACCATGGCAGTGCTTTGAGGCCTTCACATAGTCACCTGGACCCAGGTTTGGAAAGGTGCACTGCACTCAGCATTGCAACAGCTAACCATGTTAGGAGACTAAATCTCATTTTCCAGAGCACTGTAGGTACTGAGTGGGCCAACATACCATTGACCACTGATGGGCTGCTAAGTGTCTAGGCAATGCCTACATTTCACTGGGCCCTAGAGAGCAAAGGGGGAAATGTAGGTGACCGGCGACACTCGTCTGAGCAGCAGCAAGAGAGATGAGGAGAGAAGAGGCAAAGAATCCAGTGTGGATAATGACTGATGGAGTAGCCCGCAGGGGAGGAGATGAGGAAAGGGGAAAATCATAAAAGCATGACTGAGAAGGTCTCAGGAAGAAGCATATGGGGAGACTTGTCCCTTGGGTCCTGGTTTCTTTCCAAGACGACAGCCCTCCCACTGCAGATGTTTTCAGTTGCTGACTAAAGGTCTGCTGTGTCCATTTCCTTTTGTTGCAAGTAGAGGGGATTGGACCGAAGCCTTTCATGGTGGACTTAAACTAGCGTGGCTGCCAAGAGAAGGAAGAGTGATTGCAGGTGACGGGGTGGAGGATGCTGGTGAAAGAGGCAAAACTGGGAAAACAGGGACAGCGACACTAAGGAGTGTGGGAGCAAAATGGAACTCCATTGGCACCATCATTGAGCACAGCAGCCCTAGGCCTAGAACTATGCGGAAGAGAAACCTCCTCACACTCTGGGGTTGGCAGATGGGGCCTCCTTTCCCCCCCGCCCCAACCGCCAGAGACTTCAGGTGGTTAGAGCAGCTGCAGAAGGTAA